GCAACCTAAGGCCACCGGGTGGCTGCCCGGCGGGCAGTGCCCCCCACTGAGAAGGCACTTTCAAATTCTATTCGTCCAATTTGAAAAAAGATGAAATCTAAAATATACCTCGACAAAGATCTGAATAAGAGACACTGGGATAATATTTCACTATCTCACCACTCCCGGGAGCAAGTACCGAAGAGGATGCAGACACGCACCGTCGTCGGCACACTCATTGAGTGTCACTCAGACTCTGCGTCTCTGAGTGTCTTTCTCTCGACGGTACTTCTAGGGTCGGTTCCTACAGAACCACCCCACCACATCCACGCGACCGGGAGTGGGATATTTGATCTGCAGCTAGAGTAGTCTGAATAAGATCATGATTGCCACTGTATCGTCGAAGCCTCAATACTCAACTCAACTCAACTCAACTCAACTCAACTCAACTCAACTCAACTCAAAACCTATTGCCGGGTATTACGGGCTCGAGGCCTATCACCCTTAAACGTACAATGCCACTTAACTAAGGTGATCTTCCTGGCCCAACCCCAGCGTACCCCTCACGCAGAATGGAAAGAACGATAAGGAAAAGTACAGTTAAAAGGATGAAAGGCTGACCGCGACGACCAACGAAGCACTAGTGGAGAGGACCAAAGCATATAACAACAGCCCTAAATCAACTCTTAACTTGGAGCATTCAACTAGACTATACCAATCACCACCTGGTAGTGTACCAACCAAGACGGTTGAGCCAACTCTCTACCGAGTACCAACATACAGTATACTCCTAGACTTGGGGTGTAACCAACATACGATGTGCACCCAAACTATATCAACCCCAACTGATTCAATCTGGTAAGCGGGGGCCCCCACACTAGACTAGACACTAACATATAGTGTATCTCCACACCTAACCAACCACAATAGATAGTGTACCCCCACGCTTGACCAACCACCAGGCCAGTCACCAACTGATGGTGTGCACCCACATTCGACCAACCACCAACGCATATTGTACATCCTCTTGTAATCTACCAACAGCTGTGGGTGTGCACCTACTCTAGACCGACCACCAATTTCTACCGTATATCCCCACGTAACCAACCACCGACTGATAATGTAAACCAACCCCTACCGATAGTGCATGCCCATCACCAACTGATAGTGTTCACTTGCAGTAGACCAAGAACAAATGTGATGCAGACGCCCGTGCCATAGCGATCACCAGCTCATAGTGTACATCCACAAAGTTGGGCTATGCGTACAGCTGCCTCCATATACGCCTTCTCAGTGTAGAGAAGCTTGTAAAAGTAGTAATCTTCTTCATTTGGCGGGATAACTACTGGAAAAGTAAGTGGGCGATCCAGTGTATAAGTAGGGCATTGCAGTAATAGATGTTTAATCGTGAAAGGTACCCGTCCACAACCAGGGCACAATGATTTGTGATATAAAGGAAGGACTTGTAATCGTAGCCGATACAATAAGGTTTGTTCAGAGCGAGGAAACTCATGTAGTGCATCATGTAACCAAGTATATCGTGTAAACGCTAGACGTAGACGCTTGTTCTGCTGAGTGAACTCCTCTTCTCCTGGGATTGGTGAGGCGGCAGACCGATATGCAAGTCGTCGTTCGGCTCCAAGTCGTTGTAAAGTCCCGGCCCACGTTTCTGGTGGGAAGAATTCGGGCAGATCCTGTTGACTTCTTGCCATCGTGTCAACCTTATCGTGTAGTTCCAATCCAATGTGACCTTTAATCCATTGGAGGGTAATAACCTCTGGAGCATATCGTATAGTGGTTGGTAGTTGATGCCAAAGTTCTCGGAGTAACCACAAAGTATCCCAAATCAATTCTCTCTCTGGGCTCGAAGTTAGCCATCCATGCGTCAGGTGGTTGATTAGCGCTTGGTTGTCATTAAGGATAACTATCCCATTACATAACTTGAAATGTTCTTGTGCTGCTGAAGAAATCAGGAAGTGAAATACAGCATGATTGATGCCCCGTAACTCTGCTTCGTAGGAGCTATGGATGTTGGGTCCTAAGGGGTAAGCTTGATGCGAGATATATCGATATCCTTGGATCCGGGGTGGTGCTGGAGGAGCCATGAGTAACCATGCATACCCAGCTGAATTTCCATGTGGTCGGTCCGTGGGTGGAGTATATGATCCATCGACTATGAGTATCAAGTATCGTTGTGCCATATAGTGAGATAGTGTAGCCAGAGCTGCTAGCTTGTAGTCGTCCGTAGTCGGAGTCGGCGGTAATGCTTCCTTCAGAGTTGTTCGTCCGGCAATCGGTGTAGTTGCCATTGCAGGAGGTATTGGTGGATAGAGATATAATCGTGTTGGCGGGTCCACGAATAAAGATGGGCAGCGGAGGGTAGCATAATGTACCACAGAATAACAATCCTTCACTGTAGGTGACCCAGTACATGTGATAGGGTGAATACACCGTTTTGCACATAGTTCTCGGAGTGGGGAGATGGGAATACGACAACATCTTTCCAGCACCTTATCACAGTGCTGTGTGAGAAGGACTTCCAGGGGGGGATAATCCGCTAGTCGAAGGGCAAGACCGGGGGAGGACCATTTTCGACACCCAAGGATTGATTTGATGGCCATTCGATAGCAGCCCTGTAGCGTCCTCCATTGGACTACTGATAGGTGCCAAGCCCACGCCGCTGCCCCTAGTAGAAATGGCCACTGGATGAATTGTTGAAATAATCGGCGAATTATTTTTGATGGAGTACTTGTCAGTCGTCGTAATACTAGGCATCGTTGACGTACCACCTGCCGTAGTTTTTTGATGTGACTCCTCCAGCTGAGAGTCGTATCAAATATAACGCCAAGTACCCGTGCCTCATCTTTAACTGGTAACCATTCGTCATTAAGGTAGATTGTTTGGGGTGTAACTCGTCGTTGTCGAGTTCTCCTGAAGTAGACCAAATTTGTTTTAGCCGATGATAGAGCCATCCCAGTCTCTAATGCCCATGACTCGACTATCCTCAGTGCATGATTGAGGCGATAGTCTGCTTCTTCTTGAACGTTACCCACACTCCATAGGCAGAGGTCGTCTGCGTAAGCTGCAACTCCAGCTAGTCGATATGCTGGGTGAGTCTGTAGGGAACACAGGGCGGATAACTTCATAATCAACGGGTTCAGATACAACGTCCACAATAATGGTGAACATATACAGCCTTGAGGGAGGCCGTGTTTTTGAGAGCGGGTGGAAGATTTCGCTCCATCCACCTCCACGTAGAACCGCCTCCCTCTCAAAAAGGCCCACAACCACTTGCATAGAGTTATATGTATGGGAGATAACATTAGCTGAGAGTATAGAACCGGCAGAGTAACTGTGTCGTACGCTTTAGTCCAGTCCAGAGAAACGAACGTTACTATACGGCCAGCCCTAACATGTTCACTAATAGACGAATGCACATATGCTGTTTCCTCATCTAGAGTTCTGCCAGCCCTGAAGCCATGTTGATGTCCGTCTATGAAGTCACCAGTCTCGTTTCCAGTCGCATCATCTCTTTCCAGCTGGCTCTCGGCACGGTAGACTACCATAGACTCTGCCAACCGGGCAAAGAGGCATGTAACAGAAATAGGACGAAAGTCTTTGGCAGTAGCTTCTGTCATGGAGATAGATGTTTTCTTGATGACAATCACCCGTGATAGTTTCCAAATTGCAGGAAGTTGAGTCGTACCAAGAGATTTGCTGATCAGTCGGACGACAGCTCGAGTTAATAGCTCAGTCCCATGCGTCAAAAAGTGGGGTAGTATTTGATCGGGTCCACTAGACGAAGATTTGTTCAAACTTGTAAGTGCTCGATGATATTCTTCCAGTGTGAAGGGTTCACCCTGCTCTATAGATGCTTGTTCGTGGTATGATGCTTGCCATATATCCCGCGGATGACTTGTTGCTAACTTTTGTTGGAGTCGCCGATGGTCACGCTTCCTCCTCTTCTCCATTGCATTATTTCGCCTTCGCCATTCCTTGCAGTTTGAATGTGTTAGCCGGCTCGAATAAACGTCGCCTGATAGATATCTCGAGTACCGCTGGGCCGCTGATTGACCAGTAAGACCGTCGATCGTGATATCAGACCTGGGTGTCGCTCCGAAAGCCAGTGTTCGCACCGCTTTCCACTCCTTCCGGTGGCTCATGGTTAGGCCAGTGGTGAATTCTTCCCATTGGCGTTTTTGGGCCGCTCGGATCGCATAAGTATATTGTTGAGAGATTGACCAAAACTGCCCTCGTAGTCTATCCCACGGGAGCCGATTCCGGCGCCGAGTATGTATACTCCGACGAATACGGTTCTTCTGTAGTCTTAGGCTCTCTAGCTCGTCGGACCAATATGTTTTATACGAGGATAGTTTTCCCCGTGGGATGTGGGCTCGAGCTGCCTGCAAGATAGCAGTAGTTATATTAGAGTTGATGCGATCTACTGAGTCTGACCATCGTATTCTCAGTAGATGATTATCCAAGGCTTGTTGATATTGTGACCAATTTGCTTTGCGAAAATTCCATAAGAGTCGCTTGTGGCGTGAGTGGCTCGACTGTGCAAATGGGGTGCCCGGCGTCCATTGCACTTTCAGGGGCATATGGTCGGAGTGGGCCAGGGCATTGGAGAGCACTGTGCTAGTGAATTGAGATCGAATAGGCTTCGATATGGCCGCAATGTCGATAGTCGATCCTGAGTGTCGTTGACCAAGATAAGTCGGCGGGTCGGTTGGATTACCGAGTAGCCGGAGGTTACTATCATATAACCACTCCCATATAATCTGACCCCTTCGATCTGGCTGTTCGACTACTGACAAATCCCATCCCGGATGATGAGCATTAACATCGCCGACCAGGAGACATCTTTCTGGTGGGAGATCGGGCAAACCAGTCTCCGTAAGGGTTATCGCTGGTCGAAAGTAACAGTTGAGAATGGTGAGGGGGGGCGTCTGTTGGGCACTCAAGAGAAGGACACCAAGAATCATATAAGCATTGGACGAGTCTGCGTATGTAACCTGGACTGAGGTATGGTATTTCAGCCCACAGCGAACTAGTGTGATAAGTCCTCCACTTAGGCGGCCTCGAGATGCCAGTCGAACTCCTGGGAGATGTTCCACCCTATATCCAGGGAGCCGTATTGCAGTGGTATCCAAGTGGTGGGTCTCCTGGAGACACACTATATCCGGACGAGCTAATCTCAGGTACCGTTGTAGTTCTAGGCGGCTGCTTGAGAAACCAGCTACATTATATGATAGTATAGTCAACCGTCGTCCATGTCTTCGGCTGGTGCGTCGGTAGATACCGCGTTGGGACCTGCGGGTACATCTGCGCCTAAATGGCATGTAAAAGAACAAAAGTGGGGGTGGTTAACAGAGAAAGACGATAGGGGCGCTAGAGCGAGGCCATTCTCAATCACACTCGTAGAGTGGATGTATGAGTTTATGGCAGCTTGGCCCCAGTTTCGATCTGACTCTCGTCAGGAACCCCCACGCCACGATAAGGCACTGGGACCAATGGGGGCTCAATACTCACAGGCCGAACTGGTGCATACACTCAAGATGCACGAAAATTGCAAGAAAACAAATCGATCAAAGTTGCGCGCGCGTGCAGCGAGGAATTGGTTGAGCGCCAAATTATTGCCGCACGCCCTTTTAGAGTCTTTCGCTCGCCGTCTTGGGCTTGCGCGATGGACCCATCATATCCCTCGGCCTCGGCCGTCCACATACCTCATCCTGACGATGTCACGTCTGATCAGAACGCTCATCATGGACAAGTTCCGGTGGTAAGAACCTCCTCCCACGTCTCGGGCTGGTCGCGCACGGAGTCTCGGTCGCACAGTTCATGTTACTCTCGACGTATCTTTACCTCCGATCCAGCAAGATGCACAATAGGTCCGAATACGGTCATCCTTTCAGACACCCACCTCATCGGCTCACGTTGGAGTAGATGTCGGAGTGCGCCCCAGCACAGGTGCGCCCCTATAGCGATCGTTAACTATTCCCCGTCATCGTCCTCCTCAGAATCCCACATCGACATCGCCAACATGTTCCCCCCTCCCAGCGAGGGCGATGCTATAATACCTGATGCCAGCCCCAACTCTGAGGTCCCACAGACTACCCCGGGGATGACCGTCCGTCACCACCCGAGCACCCCTTTCCCCGTTCGGTAAGTTGTCACTGCCATCTCGACTGGTGTGATTGATGGTCATCATGCAGGGCCTCGGGAGTGGGCCTCGGGACTCCTCCTCATTTACACTCATCTGGAGCCAGAAGCCAACAAGATGCCCTCAGTCAAGGACAGGCCATCGTGACCTGCCGTAAGAAGATCTATCAGGCTGAGGTGAATGCCCATCGTCCGTCTACAATGGTGTGAACTGTGTTTTTCTAGATATTGTTGTATCCTGGGAAGAAAGTTCGAGGGCCGAAGCGTCAATCACAGAGTGAGTTTTAACTACTCTCTAAGTGCATGTATGTCGTTGCTCACTATAGTTGAGGCCGAACAAGACAAGTTCACGCTTGAGAGGGCCAAGATGGAGGGTAACATCGAAGAGGTATGCTCACATGGTTCAACTACTCTGCTACAATCTCCTTGTAGGTATTGGTCGGCTGGGATCTGCATTCTCAACTGCTACCAAAAGGAGTTTACTATCATAAGCGCAAGAAGGCCTATGTAGGCTTTCTTGGGGTCCGTCACTGGTCCGTCATGGCCGTCTATGGCAGATCGCCAGTATTAACATCTCGGCCGCGAATCGTCAGCCAGGCCCGTTGGCTGCAGCAGCGAGGCATCGTGAACTGGCTCAAGCCTTGTCAGCCACACGAGGGGAGTTTGATGGCCACGTCCCGCCGCCGGCGCCCGTCCTCCCACCGGGCACAGTGGTACCCCCTAAACCCACTACGGCCAAGGTAAGTTGTCGATGCTCGTGTTTCCCGTACTGCTGCTGCTGTCGCTGCTGCTCAGATTGATGGTCCTGCGAGGCAGACCCTCGCCGAAGCCATCTCGGACAGGGCTAAAATGGCGTCGGCAACCTCTGAGGAGGAGCTTATGACGGTAGTCCATATGCGTCCGGGGTGTAGGAGGACGTACGAGTCTTCAGATTGTTCACGAACTTCGTGGTCCGAAGGCTCGCAGCACTAAGCGGAAGTCGCTGAATCCTGATGAGAAGCTTCCCGCTGGAGTCTATTTCAAGCCGGAATCTAACTGTTATCAAGCGCAAGTATCAGTGAACCGACGGAACATTCGAGGACCCCCGCGGCAAACCCTCGATGAGGCCATTAACGACCGCCAGAGGCTGTTGGTGGCAAAAGCGCAAGGTGGGTATATGTTTAGGATGCCTATTTCGTAATATGTTTATTTTCCAGGCCGAGCTGAGGAGGAGGTGGTTTTGCTTAAGGTCGATTATCAGAGAACGTTGGCGTTGGAGGGGTGTGTCGGTGGGCTAATGCCGGGAGAACGTTCCAATGGGGATCGAAGGGCTAGAGGCCGCCCCAAGGGGTCAGTAACAGGGACCACACGGTAAGCCCTGAGGCGCGTTGGTTCTGCACTCGATGGTTGGGTTTATCAGATTCGCATTGCAAACGATGCCGCCTGGTGGGATGATGTTGCCGCCTCCGCCACCTGGCATGTTCCCATCAGCGGCCGAGGGCGGCCCTCCGTTCAATCTGCCGCTCTTCTTTGCTGCACAGGCGGCCCAGCAGGGTGCTACTGAGGCCACTGAGGTACGGTGTCCAGTCTTGTTGTCTCAACATGCAGTTTGCTGTTATCAGGTTCCCCATCCGGACTACTCTACCGGCACGGCTGAGCAGATCCTGTTATTGAACCAATACATTCAGCAAGCCGCCGGTGTTCTCGCCGAAGACAACAACATGCCTGCGGAGGCTTCGGGTGCTCAAGGATCTGCCGTGCCTCCCGAGTCTCGTGAAGATCCTCCCTCGAGCGAGGAGGCTGTAGTCCCACCAGCGGACCCGTCTAGTCCCCCTTCTACTGCCTCTCCTCGTGATACTGCCAACGATGTGGTTCAAGCTATGCTCGCTGCCTCGGGCATGCTGGACGCGGCCAATGCTGCAGCTGCTGCAGCTGGGGTTGACCCCGCCAATGGACAGGAGCTCGATGGCTCGCTGGCTCATACTGATTCCAATGGAGGTGATGGAGATTCTGGACGGCCCTACAAGATGCAGAGGGTCACTCAGTGAGAATTTGGCGATGGTGTGGTAACAGCACACGATATCAAATAAAGTAATGGCCATCGTGCCTATGTGAAGTTGGTCATTTTCTCTGTAATATTTGCTGGAAATGGAAACGGCAACCACATCGGAGGCTGTGCTCTTTGATGATGGTTAAGTTCATCATTTATTTTATTGCCGTCATCGCGTGGTATTCAAAGCTGTTGGAATGCTGTAGTACCCCGGTCACGATCATCATCTTGAGTTCAAGTCGATCAATTCCAACGCGTTGGGTCTAGCTAGCCCCTGCGCCCCATGCAAGACCTTATAACGGCGGAGGAAGATGCTGAGCATGTTGAGGACCGGGGTCCGAGCAGCTACTCCTCGTCGCCGATCACGAAGCTCCTCGAGAAGCGTCGGGAGATGTACGACGTTAATGACGTTTTGGAGACTCAGAAAGCGAAGTAGGCTGCTCAGTGAGGCGCTAAGGGAACTCACCTTGGAGATACGCGAATGAAGAGGAGACATTTCAAAAGGTTGAGGATGATATCAGAGCACGAGATCTGCATCTTCAGCATCAGCTAGTGCAATACAACAAATTCCTACAGGTTAAATCAGGAACCGCCAGAGTGGGTCTATTGTGTTTGTTGTCTTGGTAGGATAACGAAGGGAAGCGTCGTCGAGCTGAGCTGAGAGCTGGAGAGGAGGTTCATCAGATCGCAATAAAGGGGGAGGAAATTAAGGATATGGAACGGTGACGCTGAGGAAGCGGCTGAATTGTTGCCGTGGTTTTGTAGTTGATTGTTCGGCAGGGAACTGACAGAGTCTCATCGGATGCATAAGGAACTCCGTCAGGCAGTTGCTAGGAGTGATCGAGAAATGCCGACGGGGGGGAAATTTTCTTCTGTAGATCTTCGCTATAAAACTTTCTTGGAGCTCGTAAGAGACAGCTCGGAGGAGTTCTCAGAGATACAGGATATACTCGCTAGGTGGGTATTGGGGACGGACTGCTCTGGGTGCTGATGTTTGCGATGGGGTTATCGCATACAAGGGACAGGGTTGAGGCAGAGGGAGCGTTGGAGGAAAGGTATCGGATGATATGAATGACTGTAGATACCACACGCTGGAGATGGCGAATACTGATCTACGGGCAGCCCAGTCCAACCTCGATGGACGAGCGGAGGAGATGAGAACGAAGCTTAGCGTGTACAACAAGAGGAAGGCGATGGAGATACTGGAGGCCACCAATCGGGCGGCCTCTCTGCAGGCTGATCTCGAGGATATGGAAAAGCGAGTTATGGAGTAAGAGGGAATTGTGACTTCTCTGATTTGCTCGCCGCCTGGTCAGGCTGGATGAGGAGGTAAAGGAAGCCTCTGAGGAAGATGCAGGGCTTCGGCTGACTCTCGCTCGAATCGTGGCTAGCGTGGAGAATCTTTTCAAACGGTCAGTGGTTGTGGAGAACGAGAGTGTCTGAGTCGATGGGATCAGGTGTACTACGCAGAAATCTCAGACGCAACATGGCAGTTCTATACAGGAGGACGAGGATGCGGACCCTTCAACAGGTGACACCTCCCGTTCAACGACGCTTCTTACGGGTCCGCTCAGGTTGGGGTCCGGCCCCTCAAGCTTCCCGTGGAACTGGGTTATCTCAGAAACAGAAGGCGGAGTTGGAAATGCGGGAATATCGCAAGAAAACTGATTGTGCTTTGAAGCAACTATCGAGTGATGAGAGGCAGCTGTTTTATTTTCCCGGAGATTGCCTCAGCCATATGCGCCTATATGGCTGATCTCCGCGATATCGCCGAGCAAATCAAGAAGGAAAGAAAAGCTGCGAAGAAGCAGCAGCGTCCAGTACTTTTTGATCAGCACTCCCAGCCCAAGGCGGAGATCATACGCAGCCATTCGCCACCTGTGGCCGCCACTAGGGCGTCTTCAAGTGGAGTACGCACCACGCGAACGGTGTCGTCATCTTCTGGTTCGAGGGCCACTTCCCGGAAATGAACATGTTCCCTGAATGTGACAATACCTTTGTTGCGTTGATGTTGAGTAGCAGAGAGTGCGAAACTCGATCTTAAACGAATCAGTTGGGAGAAGCTCACGCCTTAAGCGCCTCATAACAATAAAAAACTACCTGAATGATTAATGCGAGAGGCTCTTTGTGGGGCCGCGAACCGCGCATCATACGCTATCGCCACTACGGGATGATCCCGTCGCACATCTGGTACAGTATATATCCACTCTTACGACTCTGCTTGCTATGGGGAGTGGTCTAGCTGCATCATGTCGAAAAGAACTCCATGCATCATGTAAGCGACACAATTTGTTTTTGCTATATTCAATTTTATGTTGGCTTTTACTCATGCGATGATGTAGATGATTTCCTTCAAACCTCATCGCCTACGCTAAATAGTCTAATAATGAGTAAAAGTGTACAGACTTTGCACTGGAGAGCCCCAGAGCGAGAATCGATGAACATTTGAGAGTGGCGAGCGCAGTTGGCGTTCACCGTTTATGGGTTTTCATCGATTTTGATGCGCAATATTGCAACAAGATCGAATACGCTCACTCTCCGCTGTTTCCAGGGTTCAGTCGTACAGGTTGGTCACAGTATGTCGTCCAAAATCGTTACTCATTCGTCCATTCGCTACTAAATCCAACTCAACACATCAGACAAGAACGCTACATTGCCTAACAGATATGCTAATCCGCCTACTGGCGGCAACTGCCCTCCCGGCATGCACGAATTGATACATATTCATGCAATTGGTTCATCTACCCTGCTGAGGATGCTTACAGGGGTGCTTCGCTTGGGGCGGTGGCCTCAGAGGCATCATCGCCGATCAGAATAGAGCAAGTGTCGATATACTTTCCAGAGGCCCAGCGCGTGGAGGTGACGACAGATTCGTCACTGGACATGAAACTCCTTTGCATGCTTCGCTCGAGGGATCTCTTCTCTGTGTCTGAAAGCACTCTAAGTCTCAACGACATTGAACAGGGACGTACTGAACTCTGGGCCGTGAGGGACCGTCACTTTCTCCGGCCCCAGGTCCACGGTGAATTGAACTTCTTCGAGTATCCGTCTGGGCACCGGTCTAGCAATGAACTTATGGTCCTCATTCTTGCCGCTACCCTCAATGTGATTCCTGCAAGAATGTATTTCGAAGCCTCGATCGTGCCTTACGGTGTTATCTTGGACCGAGCTCCAGTCCTTAGATTCGGACTCTTGGGTTTAGTTGACGATCTCAATGGGCCGAGAGGAACAGCGTGGGGACGCCGGGTCGAAGGGGGCGCTGGGCGAGCCTGAGGAGACATTTCAAGGCAAACCGCAACTCGTACCTCGAAGGAGGTGTCGAGCCCCCTGTTGCCAAGCGAGTCCGCCATGCAGAAAGTGTTGTTGATCTAAGCACAGGAACTGCCGAATCCAGAGACTTGGAAGGCACACACCCGAGACCCGCCGCGATTGTGACTGAGATTCGGAGATCTCGGGATCTGAATACAGTATTGCCTGAAACCTCGACATTCAGTGGCTCACAGTGATCCTGCCGGTCCACCTCAAACTTGGTATATTCTCACGAAGTTTCTTAGTGAATCTCTGGGCCTAATATAGCAAAATTCAAGTCGTTAAGTTCCGACCTGTCGGGAAACTGACCTCTTCTCGCAGTGTATTGGTAGTCTCCGGTCTGTTCTCGGAGACCACAGAGTTACTAGGAGTGCCCAGCCCAACAGGATGCCTCACGGATCTCTCGAGCTCCACGGCACTCTGATTCAGCCCAGGATATCTCTGATCACAGACCATTACACGATACTAGACTCACCGCGATGCATACCCAGGTCTTGGCAAGGCTGAAGCGCGGGGAGGATGGGACCTATCGATCGGTGACCAGCTCATTGGGGTCACCTCACTCACTGTGGGCCGACCAGTCCATCGGGTTCGGCTACTTTCGCGTAGTCGACTGCCGAAGCGTTCCGCCTGATCATCACCAATCCACGCGGTTTATGATAACGACGTATCCACCTCTGCAGCGAGGCTCTCGATGACTCGAGACCCTTCATCGCCGTTCTGTTAGAATAGGTCGAGATCGAGACAGGTCACAGGGACCAGCTCACCTCGTGGTCTCGTCTGCTGGCCGATACATTGCTGTTCTCAGTACTTTGGGAGGTGTTATGCAGTGAACCACCAGCAGGAGCCGTGGTGGCCTGCCACGGAGACGAGTCACACCGAGCTCGAGTGACTCGATGACTTACAGTTCCCGCTGGTCTCGATCGGCTCCTCATATGAGCTAGCCGCGGTGATATCGGAACCTGTTAAGCTGGATGATAACCGACAGTCCAACTACTCACCGTGGGCTTCCCAGTCCATCTCGGATTGCTAGCCTCACGGAGGCGGCTGGAGAATCTCTCGGCCTAAGACAGTGGTCGTCAACTCCCCGCAACTCATCGCGACCGAACGACCTACCGCAACAGCCAGACCGTCAACCTGGTCGGCCCCATCCGTTGGAGTCTCCATCCTCGGAGTCTGACCACTCCCAGCAGCCCGAGCTGTCGTGTGCAACTTCGGTTCCTACAATACGGTACCACACGGTGTCCACCTCCCAGCTCACCCGAGGCATCGTCAACTTCGTCGTCGAACACGGTAGTATACCGGCCGTAATAGGAGTATCAGCAGCCTGGCACCTCGAACCATCAAGCCCAGATGATTCCGATCCTCACCTTAGCCACAAGAGTCTTCCGTCTATACCTCTCAGTCCTCGAACGCTCCCTCACCCTCGCCGCGCGGTGCTGAGCAATTTCCATCATCTCTCGCTCCTCAGTCTGGCAAAGGCGAGAATTTCGTGGTGCAGTGACGTTTGCTGCTGTTGTATGTATCACTGATAATGGTCGATTTCGTTTGAGTGATGGTTCGGCTATGTTCTGTCTACTATCGCTACAGAGCCCCTCCACGAGGCTCCGAGAGGATTCATCGGATAACTCGGGCACTTCAATCTGCAGACATTCACCTGAAGAGGAGGAGCTGATAAGCTACAACGCAGTTGGATGTTAACGAGAAGCTCTTGATCTCGCATGAGAATGACTGACGTTTATTCGCGCACAATACATATAATGAATGCCAACTGATACGGCCTACTTTTACGCTTTCTGAGACCCGCCACGACGTCCTCCTTCGCTTCGCCCTGCTTTCTAGCGTTCTCACTGAGCTCAGCAGTCGACTGCTGAGGGGCCACCACTTCGGTATCTTCTTGGGGAGCCACTCTAGCATGGCAGCGTGATCGACGAACTGGAGATCCTACGGCTCACATCTCCTTCTCCACCGGCTCAGTCCTTCCTGCGTCACTGTTATCATCCGAACTGAACACCACTCCTCGGTGTATGGCCGTAGGAGTTCCTGGGGCTTACTCGAGCCGCCAGCCGTCGATATCGAGACCAGCCGGGGACGAGGCAGCTAGTCCATTGGATGCTACTTCTCTATCGTCAACTTCTTCTTTATCCGTGCGTGTGTTATGTATGGAAACTCTGAACTCAGGGTGATTTAAACTTCGCACTGCGGCTCAGCTTACGAAGACTCCTTCGGACTCGGCAACGTCGCTGTCGAATCACCTGTGGATGGAAGATGGTACGCGGCAGCTAGGGAAGTCTACTGCAGAGACTCACGAGGATTCCTGTACTTCTCAAATGCTTCGTGTCCATCGTCATCATCACTCGCCGCAGCATCAGGACCAGGAGCAGCGTCCATGATGGGAAGGTCGAACGAAAATATAACTTATACCATTAGCCGTATACAGGTTGTTTAACACAGCGAGCTCAACGATGTACCGTGTAACACACGCCTTGTGTCCATGGATGCTCTCAGTGAGCAGTCCTCACTGGATGCCGGACTCATGTTGGCGACTGTGTCCTCGTTTCTCACCTGGAAAAGAATTTCGCGAGGGCAAAATTCGTCGTTTTTTAGTGAACACTCGATACCTTCTGAATCAGACCATCGGACCATGCACCGGGGCAAATGAAAGACCGTAAGGGGAACCTTGTAACAAAAGTAGAATTAATTGCGAATCTCTGCTCCTCGATGCACACGAGACTCTCGTGATACAAGATAAAGCTACTGATAACGCGCTTAGCGCAGTATGGGAAATACCCAGACTCCTCTTTTAGCAACGGAGGTCTCTGTCATCCACAGCGAAGCATTAGATGACGAGAAAAGGCGTCGAGGGAAACCCTACACAGTTTAATACACATATCGCCTGATTTGACTTACCCGAGGTAAGTTACCTCAGAAAACACGGTGAATATATCACCCTTGAACGCCGAATACGCGAAATAATTTCGCCTTGACCATCGATACAGCCGTTAAACGCCTCGAGAAACCTGACTAAGAACAACATGATTGTTCCATCAGCCACAGCTCACCAAAGATTATATTGCGGCCCGAAGGGGATGGGAGTCCGATGATGGGATGTTCACCGGACGAGTCTCCGGCTCAGCCGGAGCATAAAATCCGGACTAACGTGCAATCGTGCAGCGGCCAATATAGCAGTCTCAAACACAAAGCGTCAGTAGCTTCACTGTTAAATTGACTGATAATTCTCTCACAGTGCATGTAAGTGCTCTTCATACCGTAACTCGATCAACTCCTGTTCAGGTTGTTTAGCATGTCGACTTACTCCTTCTGGCCAGAGACTGCTCATGAACTTGAGAAAACTTGCTAACCAAGATTTGACTGAGCGTTTTTATGAGGACCCATCGGCACTACCAAGCTTAGCGCCAGACCTAGACATAAACATGGAGGCGGTGCTCCTACCCGTTCCACTCGACAACGATGGTCCCGCTAGTGTAGATCGTCATTGACGATTCGTCAAGGAGTTGTTGTGATGAGAGGGCATCATGCTTATACTACTAAGAGTAGCCCTTCTATGATTATGCCACATGGTAAGTGAGGTTTGTGACGAAAATGAAAATGTGTGTTCAAGCGTGTTGGGATCGAGAGAAGCCGTTTCGAGTGGTGGTGAAGACGGCAATGTGTATACATGGAGTCTTACTGGTAGCTCCAGTGAAGCCCCTCTGGTGTGGGTCGGCCGGTCGGCCCATCATGACACTGTGAACCTTGTGAATTACTGTCCACACACGCATGGTGTTATGCTCAGCAGCTCTGATGACAATAGTCTTGTAGTCTGGCTCAGCGATCAGCGCTCTTATCATGCCGAGACTTACAGTAGAGACAGTTGTGTACCTGATTACCAGAAGATTGAGCGGTATCTCTCCTCTACGCAGCATATTGGCGATTGCCCACAACCGTGGGTGCTCGTGGTCGTGATGAAGATCTTTAGCTTCTATTACAAAACACTAGAAGTCTTTGTTGAAGAGATCATGAGATTTATGGAACAAAGCTCATTCTCATCCTGGCGCGTTATAGTTGCTCTTTCTTTGGGAATTGATACCGCATGAAACAACAAGTCTCCAATTCCTAAACTGGCTTGAGCCTCAATCCTTGGGTCCTTCTCTCGAATCAATAGATACAGGTTGAACAAGAGGAGCTTGTCCATCTTCTCACGCGTGGCAGGGTAATCAAGGATGCACCGCTCCGCTTGAGCCAATTCTGCTGGAACCTCATAGATGCGCGCATCAAACTGTTTTGCTTCGATGACATGAATCGCAGATACCCCTTCTCTCCCGAAGTATTTCAGGAAACGGTGAGTGACATACTCAGCCTTGTTGATACGGGTTTCAGGCGATTGCAAGACTGGGGAGGATTCCTCAGTAGCCTACTGGCAGTAGGCAATGCACGGATCGGAGCCTTCAAGGCCGCAAGCCTTCGGCGAGATCGAACCGCGTTCCCAGAACTTTGCGTGCGATTAAAAGGAGAACTTCCTCGATCGAACCCATTCCACCATAACAAAGTCCATGTTGCCAGCACGTGAACTTACCGGGATCGCTCTCGCGCACATTGCGGATACCCATCACAGTACACGCGCGCAGAATGACGGTAGCCAGATCTTCCTCCCCCCCCTCTGGTTTGTCGTGCACCATCCAATTGAGGAAAGTGCCAGGAACGAACTGATTTGAACGCCGACATGGCCTATGTTACCGAATAGCGGGAAAAAATGGCCCACCCCTCGATTTCGCGGTGCGCGACAGTTGATGAACAAAATAAGAATCAATTGGAGTAACGCTACTTCATCGTTTATCTGCGCAGAGACGAGCCGATCTCAAGTGCGAAGATCACGAGAGAGGAGTTCCGTGGAGATACTCCAAATCCAATTACGTAGTAGTACACAAGGTCGTAAATGAGAGTCAGAGATTCGAGTACTTGACACCTTTCCGGTGTACCTTACCTCCTTTGCCTACAGAGCCTACCACCAATCTTTCGTCCTCATCCTACCGTCTCCCCATCTGCTTTAGGCGCTGCCACCGACATCTTGCCTAGCAGGTGTTCAAGGCTCTCCTTACTCAGCGTGCTCATATCAACATCGACACTCACAAATAATAACAACAACTGCCTCATTAACTCGACACACTAAACACAATTCGTATCAAATACGTCAGGGAGCCGCACCTTTGAGTTTTCTCAATGCCCTTTGTAAAATGGCAACTTGGCCACGTAGGAACCCCCGTACCACTCCACTGCCACTTCTTCCACTCAAAGCCCGCAACCTCGAATCAATCTCTCTCTGAATCACATCACCGCACAGCTCCCGAGCCTCTTGTTCATGCTCGACGTTCCCCAGTGAGTCCCCAACCACTACATTCTCCAGTGACGCTGTAACGCCATGATCTCTGGCAATTTTGAGGCGCGCGGTAGTCGTAAAGCTGTGCGATAGCGAGCCATCGACACACACAAAAAAGCCCCCTTCAATCAGCTGCTGTACAGCGCCTCCAGAGCTCCACAATTTCCCAGGTGATACTCGAACGCTTTCAAATTGACAATTTTCAGCATTCAAGTGAGAAGTAAGTGTAGAGAAACCATAACGCATGAGCAGATCTGTGCTGGCACACCCACTGTACACGACGAAAAACTGCTCGTTTTCGTTATAGTCTCGCATAGCAGTGAACTCATAGCGATGCTCACGAACATTATAATTCCCACATCGATTTTGCATACCACATTTCCCACAATTCTCAGCAGGATAAGCCTCGGCGCTGTGATTGACCATGTCTCCTAAGGGAACCAGACAGACTCCACCAAGTCGATGGTAACAGCCTCGCGTCTCTATCGTCCAGTAGGCCCATTCAATATCTTCCATCGCGTATCTTCCTCCCGTAGCCTGGCGTATCTTTTCGCAGGAAATCTTGCACGTGCGCTCAGCCGTTTCAAGTTCCTCCGCAAGAACACTAGAGGCCGCAGAAAACATCTTCTTATCAGCTTCGGACCAGTAGGAAATCGTTGTGTACTCCAGAGGCGAGACCTCTCTAGTAACCTTAACAGTATCAACGAGAGCAGCTCCGCTCCGCTAAGAATCTTCCCCATTTTCATTATCCATTTCCGATATACTTCGGAATCGTCACTGAGGCAAGGACTGCTGACGTTTGCAGTGATTATGAACTTGTGGGGGATTCCAATAGCCACTTGTCCACTCTGAATAGCAGTCTTAACGCGCACACCCCTCCCTGCGCCGCTGAACTCCTCGACAGCGACTCGGTTGAGCTCAGCCCCCAGGGTGGAGCGGATGAGGTCGAAGAGAGACCCTAGTGGGTCAGAGGCCATGATATAAGGATTGACTGATCAAATATGGAATATTCGATTATCAAAGAGGAAAAGCTCCCGGAGGTTACCACTCCGAGTACATCTTTTTGGCGAGCCGGGATGCACGGTACAGTTACATCCCTCCACATATTCTTAGCATATCCGGTTTTTCGACTCGTGCACAGCCACCACAACGAGTATCATCTTGCGGCTCAGGGAGGTATGTACTTATGCTTTACCTGATATGACCTCCAAGTTTCAGGGCCTAACTCTTCGTAGTTAGTGAGAAGTCGAAGACCTGTAAGAAAATTTCTCCACATATTCTTAGCATACACGTGTTAAAATTGCGCCTCAAAATACCAACTTTTACTCGGGGAGTATATCTATAACTCCGCTCCTGATCTAATGCTATACATCAACAGAAAGAGAATCGTTCATAATGGTATCCTTCCATGTTTCACTCTCATATAAGTACATACCTCCCTGAGCCGCAAGATGATACTCGTTGTGGTGGCTGTGCACGAGTCGAAAAACCGGATATGCTAAGAATATGTGGAGGGGTGTATTGATGTATTACATCGACAGCGGACATTGCGTAATATATCGATCATCTGGGCGCCCGCGATAACGGCCATCGTTGATGATGAGGAAGTGCAGCGTTTAGGTTCGGCATCGCAAGGGTTTCGTACTGTACGGGTTAGTGGCGTGTTCAGTGTCGTGAAAGGCCCTAGCAAAAGTGCTGCAGCCGGCTGATTGAATATCTTTCTTACGCACAGCGAAGATTTGTGTGGGCTCTTGCCTGTGGAGTTGATACGGTGGCAGGCAATTCGTGGCGTGTGAAGATTCAAATTGTTTCTGGTTGAGCTTAGTAGTCAGACTCACTGTGCGTCGCCGAGTATCTTAGGTTCAGCAGCACTGGATACGAAATAGGTCTGGAAGGGTACCATCGATTCAGTTCATTTCCATAGACTAGGATGATTTCCAACACCCAGGCGTTCGCCAATGCGGCCTCTGCTGCCGATAAGATCAAAAACGTCCATTTAAAGGAGCTCTTGAATGACGAAGGTAGTCCCGGGCGAGTGCCAGGGGATGAGACTTATCGCAAACTTCAGAGCGCAACAAGTCTATGTTGGTGACCCCACTTGATTTGAAAGGAGTGACTTTGGATTATTCCAGAGAACGCCTTAATGAGGCCTCAGTCAAGGCTCTATTTGACTTGGCCAAGGAGGCCCATCTCGATGAGAAAATCGAAGATATGTTCAACGGTAAGGCAGTGCGGGGTACACTTTTGTTGTTACTCTGAAGAGGTGTCGGTATAGGTGTTAAGATTAACACTACTGAGAAGAGAGCGGTCCTTCATACTGCCTTGAGAGCTCCTCGTGGTGGTAAAGTCGTCGTCGATGGCAATAATGTCATCGAGGATGTTTGGGTAATAGGGAGGGTTCATGGCTGCGAATCCTGTGGTTTATGGTTCTATCCCCGGTCTTGTCGTTTTTCGTGTCGATTTTTCTTTCCATTTTCAGAGAGTTTTGGACCAGATCAAAAGCTACTCCGATAAGATCCGTTCCGGCGCTTATCGCGGGGTGACCGGCAAGGCTCTCAAGAACGTCGTTTGCGTCGGCATTGGCGGGTCCTATCTCGGTAATT